CATTGCCTATTACACTTTTTTTTAGCTGACACTATATTCTAATAGTTATTTACTTTCTTCATACAGAACTCTTTGATGTGTTTAGCTGAGAAAAGCCCTGAAAAAATGCATTACTTACTTGAAAACTGCCTTGTGACCGCAGGCATGACTTTTCTCACTACTTCTTATTTTTGATAAAACATCACTGCAAGGCACAGATACCAGACTTTGAATGCCGGCGGCTTTGAATCAAGATAATTTTACATTTTAGATAAGCTTTACTTCGAGCATTTCGTTTTGTTTTCAACAAGCTATGTTAAAATATTTTATTCATCTACTGACAGTAAAAACATCCATTCATGCATTTTTTTATGAGTGCCGGTCCATCTGGGTCTGGTTGTCAGTATATCACAGAGCAACACAACCATGCATACATATATTCAGTCAAACAACATGCTCATATATGGAGAGGAGATTCAGTTCATTTCAATTTATTTCTATAGCACCGCTTCACAACACATGCCATCTCAATGCATTTTATAGTTCACCAGATCATCCAGTCAAATTGATTCAAAGTTTTCTATCTAAGGAAAATCAGTTGATTGCATCGACTCATTGACTTGCAGGAAATCCCTCACGCTAAGCATGCTTGTAGCGACAGTGGAGAGGAAAAACTCCCTTTAAACAGGAATAAACCTCCAGCAGAACCAGGCTCAGTGTGAGCGGCCATCTACTGAGGTCGACTGGGGTTCAAGGAGACAGAAGCAGACATAGAAAAAGAAGCATAGATACAAAAAGAAGCTTAGATACAAAAGGCAACTGTCATCCAGCTCCAAAGGTGGTCCTGTCCAGGACACATACAAACACAGGCAGACGAGCTCCAAGCTAGCTCCAAAGTAAGAGAATGAAGAAAGCACATCCAGCCAGTCGAAGTCAAAGAAACAGAACTACACTTAAAAACAGGACGATCTCAAACATCTACAAACAAAGATTATTGATGGCAGCAGCACAGCAGATATTTCTCTCCAGGATGGAGTCACAGCCAAACAGGAACAGACCAGATGAAGCTACTATGAGAAAAAGCAGAGAGAGCAGAACATTAGAGATTGAACTAACAGATTCTGCAGAGTGGGAGAATAGAGATAGAATGAAGCAGAATGATGAAAAAGGGGTCCCTATGTCCTCCGGAAGTCTAAGCCTATAGCAGCATAACTATAGAGATAGCTCAGGATAACCTGAGCCACTCTAACTAGAAGCTTTATCAAAAAGGAAAGTTTTAAGCCTAGCCTTAAAAGTAGACAGGGTGTCTGCCTCACGGACTAAAACTGGTAGTTGGTTCCACAGGAGAGGAGCCTGATAACTAAAAAATCTGCCTCCCATTATACTTTTAGAAATTCTAGAAACCACTAGTAAACCTGCAGATTGAGAGCGAAGTGCTCTGTTAGGAACATAAGGAACATAAGCTATTTTAATCCACAAAAACCTCAGTTTTACTTTATTAGACAAAATTATAGATCCTGAAGGCAGATTCATCATAATTAAAATATCTATTTATAACCAAAAGTTGTGTATTGTCAGCATATATGGTCCAAATGTTGACGACCCCTCATTCTTCCACAAAGTTTTTCATGCACTTTCAAAGCACGGGGATTGTTCTCTAATTATTGGGGGTGACCTCAACTTTGGTCTAAATGGAGAAATGGACAGGTTGAGTACAACAGGGACCCAGCGCAGTTGGCAATCATTAAATGTAGTCAAACAATACATGAGTGATTTTGGTCTTTGCGATGCATGGCGATCTCTTCATCCTAACAGTAAGGAATACACTTTCTTTTCCAATGTCCATCATTCCTACTCTCGTCTGGACTATTTCCTAATCAGCAGCTCACTGCTGTCTGATGTCTCAGATGCTGTAATCCATCCTATTGCTGTCAGTGATCATGCTCCTGTTACTTTAACCCTAATAAATAAAAAAATAGCCCCACAAAACAAGAGCTGGAGATTAAATACATCACTGCTTAAAGATGAAGAGTTTCTCAAATTTTTCAAGGAAGAGTGGGCATCATACTTGGTGTGCAATGATTTACCAGGAACATCAGCATCTATACTTTGGGAGGCAGGGAAAGCAGTGATGAGAGGTAAAATTATTTCATTTTCATCTCATAAAAAAAAGTTAGAACAAAAAAAGATCCAGGAAGTAGAGGGAAAAATAAAGTTACTAGAAAGCTCGCTAGATGAGGAAAAGTTAGGGGAAATCCGTAAAACAAAACTAGAACTAAACGAATTTATTGAAAAACAAAATAAATTTTTAATTCAAAGACTTCGAATTGACAACTTTGAACATAGCAATAAGTCAGGAAGCTTCTTAGCTAACCAGCTAAAAATAAACAAAGAAAAAACGACTATATTTGCAGTTACAGATTCAATTGGTAATACATTACAGGATCCGGAGGATATTAACAATGCCTTCCGAGATTTCTATAAATCTTTATACACATCACAGTTAAATCCATCAGATAATGATATCAAGCGATTTCTGGATAAAATAACTCTTCCTAAATTATCAGAGAGTCAAAGAGCGACCTTGGACTCACCGCTGTCTACAGCTGAAGTTCAGGAAGCATTAAAAAACATGCCAAATAATAAAGCGCCAGGTCCAGACGGGTTCCCTACTGAGTTCTATAAAGAGTTCTGGGACATTCTGGCCCCAACGTTCCACAGAATGCTGCAGGAAACTCTAGATAATGGCAAATTTCCAGTTAATATGAATTCTGCCACCATTAGTCTCCTGCTTAAGCCAGGCAAAGATCCTATGTTTCCGACCAGCTATCGTCCCATATCCTTAATTAATGTGGATATTAAAATAATCTGTAAAGCTTTAGCAAAACGGTTAGATAAAGTCACTCCTCTCATAATCCACCCAGATCAAACTGGTTTCATTAAAGGGAGGCAGTCAGCTACTAACACACGCAGACTGCTGAATTTAATAGATTATTCCTACAGCAAAAATCTTAAATCCTATATATTGTCCTTAGATGCAGAAAAAGCATTCGATAGAGTAAACTGGAAATTTTTATTTGCTACTCTACATAAATTTGGCTTTGGCAATTCCTTTATAAATTGGTTAAAAATATTATACAGCTTCCCAACAGCCTGTGTCAGGACAAACAATCAAACATCTTCCAGTTTTTGTCTCCAGAGGGGCACCAGACAGGGATGCCCACTCTCCCCCTCACTTTTTGCTATTTTTATCGAGCCTCTGGCTGCTACAATCAGACAAACAAATATGATTAAAGGTATAAAAGGCATGAAAATGGAGCATAAAATTAGTCTTTACGCAGATGATGTATTACTTTATCTCCAGCACTCAAACACTTGCCTCTCTCAAGTGATTAGTTTACTAGAATCTTTCTCAAAAGTCTCAGAATACTCTATAAATTGGTCTAAATCTGTAATACTACCAATTAATTGCTCTCTACAGAATCCCTCAGGTCTACAATTGCAATCAGGAAATATCAAATATTTGGGAATTACTGTGTCATCTAAACTAGCTGAGTTACCAAAACTCAACCACACCCCTCTTTTAATGAAAATAGAAGAGGACCTAGAAAGATGGAAATCGCTTCCGATCTCCCTTTTGGGTCGGGTAGCCTCAATTAAAATGATGGTCTTACCCAGAATTAACTACCTATTTTCAATGATCCCAAATAAACCATCAACCGAATGGTTTAAATCTCTAGATTCTTCCATCTCTAAATTTCTTTGGAAGGACAAACCCCCTCGTATCAGCTTAAAAACACTTCAGAAAACTAAAGACAGAGGGGGACTAGATTTACCTAACTTCCAACACTACTATTTAGCAAATAGATTACAATACATCTCTAAATGGATAAAACATAATCCCTTAGATGAGCCCTGGATAGACACAGAACAGGATATATGCAGTAATATAATAATCTCAGATTTGCCGTTTATTAGCTCTAAGATCAAACTGCACCCATGTTTAAAAAATATTAACATCAGCTCTTCCCTGACAGCATGGTGGGAATTTCTAAAAATAACGAACTCATCACTTATCCCGTGCAGTCGTACACCCATCTGGAATAACCCTGACATTCTACAAAACAATAATGTGATAAACTTTCCGTACTGGAAGAATAAAGGTATTACATATCTGGATCATTTGTTTGAAGGTACGGAGTTTATCACATTCGCTAGATTAAACTTGCAATATGGCATTAACAAAAATAAATTCTTAGAATATGAGCAAATCAAAGCTATAATTAGAAATAAATTTAAGCATATTGATGGAGGTTTAATAATTCCAACTAAAATATCAGAGTTTCTAGAGTTAACCCCCCCCCAAACTACTGTCTAAGTTATACAGGACACTGACTAAACTGGATGATACAATATCTCTTCCTATTACTAAATGGGAGGAGGATTTATCAGTCAGCTTTGAACAAAACATCTGGGCTCAGATATGTCTAAGAACTTTTAACATGACCAGAAACCCCAATTTACAATTAATACAATACAAAATCCTCCACAGAGTGCACTATACAGGTCAAAGATTATTCAAGATGGGTTTTGCGCAATCTAACATCTGTCCACAGTGCACAGGCAATCAACTTGATAATTATTTTCACGCGTTATGGTTATGCACGCCGGTTCAGAGATTCTGGGTACAGGTATGTAAGGATCTATCACTGTGCCTGGGTTGTAAAATCCCAATTTCCCCTTCAGGTTGCTTGCTGGGTGACTTTGAGGGAAGCTCTATGGGAAAAAAATCGGTTTGCTTGGCATTCACTGCATTATGTATCGCAAAGAAAACTATCCTCATGAATTGGAAAAGTAAGGATAAACTCAACATCAATCAGTACAGAGATCTGTTGTTGGATCATATTAATCTTGAGACAGCATCTGCATCCCCATCAGACCGATCTCTCTGGGCTCCCTTGATCGGCTCCATCACTTAGTGTAGTGGGGGGCTATGGGGTGCGTCTTGTGGGGCGCGGGGGCTAGTTCGGGGGTCCTGGGGGCTCGGGGGGGTGCTCGGAGAGGGGTGCCTGGCGGGTCTGGCCCGGGGGACTGTTGCCCCCGTCGGGGCGGGGTCTGGGGCGCCGCGGGGGGGTCCTGCGGCGGCCGCGTGCGGTGCTCTTGGGGGGTTCCGTGGTGGCGGACGTGGGCTACTGGCCTGGTGGCTGTGCTGCTGCTGGGTGGGGCTGGGCGCCGGGCATCGGTTCTTTTGTGGTGCTGGCCGGGGTGCTTCTGCTCTGCGGGGCGTCGGGGTGTGCCCCGTCTTCTGGTGCCGGGTTTCGGTGGTTGGCCGTGGCGCTTGCCGTGGTTGCGTCGTCCGGGGGGGGCGTGGGTGGTCGCGCCTGTGGCCGGGGTTCGTGTGTGTCTGTTGTGGGCTGGTTGCGGGCGTCGGGGGTCCCTTTGGAGCGCCCCCGGGTCGGGGTGTGGCTTCGCTCTGTTGGGGCGGGTGCCGGTGGCGCGTGGTGCGGTGCATCGTGCGCGGTTTGGGAGTGGAGGGTTGCTCGGTGTTTGGCGGCGGGGGACGGACGGGCCGTGGCCGGCGTGGCCGTCCTCCTCTTGGCGGCCTGTGGGCGGTGCGGGGCCGGAGCGGGGTGGGTCGTGCTGCTTTCGCGCCGGGCGCGGCGGGAGTGGTGGGGTCGCGTCTGCTGCTTTCTTTTTGCTGCTTGTGCCGGCTTCTGGCGGCTGGGGCGGCCTTGCTGCTCTGGCTCTCTGGCGTGCGCCGGGTGGGGCTGCTCTGTCCTTTGCTTTGCCTTGCGGCTGTGTTTGCTGTGGTCGGTGGGGGCGGGGTGGTTTCGTTGTGTTTTTGGGTGGGGGAGTCCGCCTGGGGGCTAGGTTGGTGCCGTCGGTGCGTCCGTGTCGGCCTTCCGGTGTTGTTTCTGTTGGGGCTGCTCGGGCCCCCGCATCCCGGCGGTGCGCTGCCGGGGGGATTCCTGTTCGGTGGGCTTGCCTGTCTCCTGGGAGGGCAGGCATGTTGACTTTTCTGGGGAGGAGCATCTGGGTGGAGGGGTCCTCGTGGTGTGGCGGTGGGTGTTGGGCACTGGCTTGTTTGCGGCCGTTCTTCTCCAGTGAGGGGGAGAATATTATAATTTTTTATTTTTTATTTTTTTTTATTTTTTTTATTTTTTTTTTTTTTTGTGTGGGAGGGGGTGTGTGGGCGGGGGGATCGGGGCTTGGAGTGGGGCTCGGGATTTGCACTTTGCTGTGTTGTGTGGCTTTCTTCTTCTTCGGATTGGTGCTGTGGGACCGGTGTTGGGGGGGAGTCGTTCGGGGGCCGGGGTCGGGGTGGGGGCGCTGGCGCCGGCGCCGGGGGTTTTTTGGGCATTGCCCGGCCCTACTGCGGGGTGGGTCTGGGGTGGGTCCTGGGGTCTGGGATCCCTGGGGCGCATTGCCCTTGGGCGGGGTCCCCGGTGGGGGTTCTGGGGTTCGGGTTCTGTGGGGAGTGCTGCTTGGGTTCTGGGCCGGTGTACGCCCGGCTGTCTGTCCCTGCTGCCACGGCCTCTGGTGTGCCGGGGTGCCTCGGGGCCTGCTGGGCTGGGGGGGGGGCATGGACATTAACACCTATGGCAAGTGCTTACCCCCTCACGGGTTTGCACTCTGTAAGTGGGGGAAGGGGAGGGAGGGGGAGTAGGTATGATCTCGGCCTGGATGTCTTCTGTCGCTTGTGTGGTGAGTAGCTTGATTGTTATTGTAGGGGAGGGATTACATCTCCGGAGGGGGGGTGGGGGGTGGTGATAGAGGGAAGGAGATCTTTGAAGGGCTTCGGGTCTGGCTCCCTGTCTTGGTCCTGGTCCGTGCTGCCCCCTGGTGGGGCTTCGTCCGGGGTGGGGGCTCTGCGTGTTGCGCGTTGGCTGGCCGGCTGGGGTTGTCCCCCCCCTTATTCATTTATTTATTTATTATTATTATTTTTTTTTTTCTTATCTTCCTTTTATATTTTTTTTTTTTTTTTTTTATCTACTTATTTATTTATTTATTTTTTATTATTTTTTTATTTTTATTTTTGGATGGACAGGACGGGGGGGGTGGTGGTGTCGGCTCCGTGCCCGGCTGGCTGGTGGGTCCTGCTGCCGGTCCCGTGCCCCCGGGCTATGGTGGTGAAACTGGTGGGGCCCCCTTCTCTGGGGGGGCTCTCGGGGAACGGGGGTGCCTATTGGAGTCAGCGGGGGAGCTGGCTCCCTGGGAGTGCAGCAAGCACCCCAGTCCTTTGCTCCCCATCCCCGAAATCCTCCCTCTGCCTGCTCCATCACTCTGCCACACATGTAGGTTTTTGGGGAGGGGGTCGTTACTGGAGGGCCACACCTTCTGATGACGTCCCCCACACCAATTTTATTTTGCATTTTAGACACTTCCATCTACATCATTTTCACAACACACATCTATGTAGGGCATTTTCGGGGGGTGGGGGTCAGGGCCACAGGGGGGGGGGGCTTATTTTATTGGCCTCACCACGGTCGGCCTCCTCCATCCCCTCTCGCATCTAGACATTGAGGGTTGAGGGTTGTCGAAGGGGGGGGTGTGCTGGCACCGTCTATCTCCTGGAGGGGGGGTGGAGTGTGCCGGACACCCCCTCTTGGTACTCCCAGTTTTAATTGCATCTGAGAGCAACACGCAACAACACCACATCCGAGCGGGCTCAGGGAGGATCGGGGTCTTCTCACACCCCTGTTCTCCGGCTGCCGCCTGGAGTCTGGGGCCTGGAGGAAGAGCGGGCCACCTGGTCCGTGGTTTTGGCTGGGGCTGGCTGCGGGGCCTAGGTGGCCTGCTGGTGGCGGGGCTGTCACCTCTGCTCTCCCCAAAGAAGGTTGGATGGAGGGGCATGAAGTGCCTGGTTGAAGTTTTTTTTTTTTTTTTTTTTTTTTTCTGTTCGGGGGGGGGGGCAGTTCTGGTTGGGTGGCCGGCGCGGGATGGGTGGGCCCCGGTCCCGGGGGGGGGCTCTTGCTGGGGGTGGTCCGGTCCGTGTGCGGGGTGGGGGGCCGGGCTTGAAGCAGGAAAGAGATGGGTTGGTGTGGCGGTGTCGCCGCTCCCCTCCCCTCACATCCGGATTTTAGGTTCACTTATGGGGTCATCCGATAGTCCCGGGACCGACCACCGGTGTCACCGGGTTTTTGGTCCTGCTATTATTGGATGTGAGTGTTATGTGTGAATGTGTGTCCGCGTTGTTATTTTCTTTATTTATTATTATTATTATTTTATTCAATTTTTTTTTTTTTTTTTTTTCCTGTGGTACGAGTGGGGGCACTAGGGAGGGAAGGCATGATTGAGATGGTGTGTTTTTTTTTTCTCCCAGGTTGGGGTCTCAACCGCACCCTCTCCCAAATACATCTCAAGTCTCCGCTAAGTGCGGAGCCCATTCCCCCCCGTCCTGCTCTCCCTCCGCTGGCTGGCGTCGGGGCTCACCGGTGCACTGGTGGAGCTAGGGGTGGATGCCCGGGGGACTGCTGGCTCATTCCTGGCGGCCTCTCCGCTGGCCCCGGCCGGACGGGGCTTTGCTGGGGCTCCTGCCTGGGGATCGGGTGCCCTTGGGGCCTCGGATCCCTGGGGCCTGGGACTGGATCCGCTTCGGGGTGGGGCTGGGTGTTGTTCGGGGATTTTCGGGGTCGGTGCCGGTGCCTTCGCTACGATGCCGGTTCCTGGGCGGTGTTTCTTTCCTATGCCGGTTCTGTGGTACCGGTTCGGGGGGGGAGCTGCACGGCATGGTGGGGTGCGGGTCTTGGGTCCTGTTTTGGGCTCCGGTTTTTCCGCTCGCACTTCTCCTCTTGCCTATTTATTTTAATTGTAATTATTAATTAATAAATTAATTTACCTATTTATTTATGTTTTTTTTTCTCTTCCTCGGTGGGGGGGAGCGGTTGCGGGCGGGTCGGTGTCTGGTGTCCGCTGTCGCATTGTGGGGGCATTGTTTTTTTTTTGTTTTTTTTTTCTTCTTCCTTTGGGGGGTTTGGCATGTCTGTTTTCTCGGGGGCGGGCGGGCCTGCTGGGTGGGGGTCCTGCTGGCGGCGCGCCGCTGGTGTGTGGGGGTCCGGGCGGCTCCGGCGGGGGTAGTGTTGGGGGGCCGGTCTGGGTGGGCTGGCTGCGCTGGCTAGGTATTCGGGTGGGTTTTCCCTCCTTGAGGCATGGCGGGGCTGCTCTGTTCCCGCTGATCGCGGCGGGTGGGGCTGCGGGGCGGATGGGGGCCTGGAGTGGCTATGGCCGGCGCGTGGTGGGGGGCCGGGGCGGCGGAGCTGCTCTGGCCGCGTGTCAGGGCCTGGTGCGGGCGGCGGACGTGGCTGGGCTGCTTTGGCTTCGTCCGGTGGGGGGGGCGGCGCGGTTCGCTCCGCTCTGGCTTTGTGCTGCCCCTCGGGCTGCTGGGGGGGGTGGTTGCGTCGGCTGCGGTCTGCTCTTCTTGCGGTTTTGCGCCGGGCGGCTTTTCTGCTCTCGGGCTGATTCTGTGCGCGGTGTGTTTCGTTGCGCGCTGTTGGCATCGGTCTTGGTGGGGTGGGGCTGCGCTTTTGGCCGGGGGGGCGTTTTGGGGGGGTCCCGCGGCGCTCGTGGCCGGTTCGCGGCGGATGCGCATGGGCCCCGGCCGGGGGCGGGGCCGCCTGAGTGTTTTCCTGGGTGGTGCGGTCGCGGTGGGTGTTGTGGCCGGTCGCCGGGGCTTGGTACTGGGGGGCGGGGCGTGTTTCACGGCTCTGTGGGGCTGGGGCGTTTCGGTCGGCGCCGTGGGGGGGCTGGTGTTCGGTGCCCGGCCCTACTTCGGGGTGGCCGGCTGCCGGCGGGGCCCGCGGACTCGTCCCCGCGGCTCCCCGGGGCGCCGGCATGGCGGTGGCTGGGGGGCTTCTTCGTGGCTGTCTCTCCTCCTGCCTTGGTGGGGTCTGGTTTCCGGGGCTGGCCCCGCCTTGGTGCCTTCGCTTCTGGGGTCCCCTTGGGCGCCTGGGGCTTTGGGTCTCCCGGCGCTGGACTCAGTGCTCTGGGGGGTGTGCCTCTCCGGCTCTCCACAACCACTATTGAGCATTTTTTCTATGGTTAAAACTTTACATGCACAAGTTCACCCTCACAAACAACTACAGGTGCTAGGCTTCAGGTACTTAGAGATTCACTTCCAAACAGAAACCCCACATTCATATCTTCAGGTAACACAGAGTACATGTCAGACTTAATAATATTACGTTAGCGATAGTTTCAAGGTGTTTGCTTTATTGTATATCTCGTACCATGTTTTTTGGTTGTGCTGTTCTTTTTTTTTTTTTTTTTTTTTTTTTTCCATCTCATTACAGGTGTTGAAGCAGACTGAAAATGTTTTGTCATTGTCTCCTTCCTATCTCCTCTTTCTTTCATCTTTTGTCCTGTTTTTTTCTTTTTCTTTTTCCTTCTTCTTCTTCTGTTTTTCTGCTCTACTTACATTGCAGTGTCCATATGAACTGTAAAACTCCCTGCATAATTATAATAAAGCAATTTATATACATGAAACAAGTGGAGCAGTATGGCAATTGCCATACCGCTACACTTGTGAAAGTAAAATCTGTTGGGCTCCTTTTGGCATCAAGACAATTATTCTTATTGCCACCTTGCCAGACAGGACACTGTAAAAAAAAAAAAAAAAAAAAAAAAAAAAAAAAAAGGAACATAAGGAACAATCAGATCTCTGATATCAGATGGAGCTTGGCCATTTAAGACTTTATATGTGAGAAGGAGGATTTTAAATTCTATTCTGGATTTAACAGGAAGCCAATGAAGAGAAGCCAGGATAGAAGAGATATGATCTCTCTTTTTCATTTTCATCAGAACTCTGGCTGCAGCATTTTAACTACAGCTGAAGGCTTTTAAGTACAGTTTGAGGACTTCCTGATAGTAAAGAATTACAATAGTCCAGCCTTGAAGTAACAAATGCATGGACTAGCTTCTCAGCATCACCCCTGGACAGGAGACTTCTAATTTTTTGCAATATTCCACAGATGAAAGAAGGAAATTCTAGAAACCTCTTTGATATGGGATTTAAATGACAGGTCCTGATTAAAAACAACACCAAGATTTTTTAATTTATAATCTGAGATCAATTTAATCCCATCCAAATGAAGAGACAGACAGCAGTTTCTTTTTCAAATACTCTGGTCCAAAGACTATAACTTCTATTATGTCTGCATTCAGGAGCAGAAAGTTAAGAGTCATCCAGGTTTTAGTGTCTTGAAGACATGCCTGTAATCTATGTAATGGGTTAGCTTCATTTGGATTTATAGACAGATAAAGCTGAGATGACAACTATATCCAGAAAGGTATTTAAAGCCAGTAACTTCTTGCTGCAATGTAACAGTATTACAAACTGCCCTGTGTTCAGCCTACAATGCAGATATGTATTCATAAATCTCCTCTTGGTTTCTCTTTTTCCAGGCTTGGAATACCCTGGACTCCCTAA